AAAGGCCACGTGTGTGAGTGCAGGGGAAGAAGGACATGACATTGAGTAAACACTGGCTGGCATGTGAAATGGGCTAGAAGTGAAGGTGCCCAGCAAGGGAGGGCATAAACGGGAGGTTGCATCTGCTTGCTTTTTTTAATGTCATCAGTAGGGGAAAGGGAATCTGTCTTAGTGCAGAATGCCCTGGCCTCCTTGTTTCATGTCCAGCTAAAATGTGGCACCAAACTTTGCACTTGGATAAATAGCATCCCATGTGCCCAGAGCCAGCATGGGACAGAAGCCAGCCCTGGGCCCCACTTTAGTGCCCTGCCGACAGCCCCTGCCGGTGGCATATGACCCTGTCTGATGTTCCCAACCTGAGGGCTGTGACCTTTTGCACCCACAGAAAAACCCAAGCACCCAAAACTGAAAGCACAGGCCCCATGTTTGAGCCCAGCAATGCCCCAAGGGACGTTTGACTTCCGACTGAAACTGTATCATCGCCTTCCCCTTTTTAAAATTGCGAAGGCAGGGATCATTCTTTCAGGATATTTTTCTCCGCTGCTGCTGGGTTTTTGAGCTACGAGATGCTAGCTGTAGGTTTCTTGCATGTAGGTTTCAGCATCTGGTAATGAGCACTGCTCTTAAAATACGACCGGTCTTGTTCCTTTCTGAGCTACGTGCTTCTCCGGGTGTGTGGGTGTCTTGTGTGTGCATCGCTGAGGACGGGTCTGGCGTTACAGGCATGTGTGTCTGCGTGATCTAGCCAGCGTGCACATTTGTGCACATGTAATTGTGGGGAGCCTCATACACTGTGTGTGTGCCTGCTTTGCACACGGCATGTGGATGTGGGGTTTGAGCACACACAGGGTGTGCCTGCGTGACAGGTTTGCCCGTCCACAGCTGCATCCCTGGTGTATTGCTTAATTTCTCTTCCTTCCTGTGAAAGCTGTTTCCATATTCATGTGCATTTCTGCATGCCTCGCACACGTGTACATGCAGAGAGAGGCGTGCATACTCAGGGGTACACATGTGCTGGGCATGACCTGCCCTGGCAGAGCAGGTCTGTGAAGACACATCTCTGGACACATGTGTGTGTCAGGGTGTGTGAATGGATCTCCGGGGGCTGTGAACACACGTGTTTCTACAAGGGCTGTGTGGATCCATGTGCATGTTCTCATCCCGTGTAGAGGAGCGTGCATGAGGGTGCCCGGGAGGCTCACGCCTGCACGTGGGTAGTGAACAGGTGCGTGAGCATTTCCTACCCCCCACCTCCACCTTCCCTCGCACGGGTCCTGTCGGTGCCACCCTGACCCCTGCCCACAGTGGGTGCAGGGCTGACCCGCCAACCACTCTGCTCTTCTCTCCCCAGGAGGACGACCTGGACGGGATCCACATCGTGGCCTTTGCAGAGGAGGATGACCCTGGTAAGAGCAGCCAGGAGCTGCCTTGTTGTGGGGCTGGGAGCAATGTGTCCTCCAGGGGCCAAGGGGCTGGGCCAAGCCCAAGGCACAGGCATAGCTGGCTGGTGCAGGGGCAGAGAAGGGGGCTCAGGGGAGGGAGTGGCAGGGGCTGGTACCCCTGGGTGGCTCCAGCACGAGGATGGGGCAGGCCCAGGTCACCACAAGGTGGGCACAGCTCCTCCTGCCCACTGCTCCCTGCCTCTGAGTGGGGCACTCGCTACAGGGCCAGGTGCTTGGGATGGATCTCCAGTCACGTTGTGGGGGCAGAGGTGGCCTGAGCCACGTGCTCGCCCAGTGGTGGGGCAGGAGTCTGCAGGGTTGGAAAGGGGGTGCTCCCAGTGCCTCTGCTGGCCTCACCAGCCTGCTCCCCAATGCAGATGGCTATGAATTCCTGGAGATCCTGAAGGAAGTGGCCAGGGACAACACGGACAACCCCGACCTGAGCATCATCTGGGTGGACCCTGAGGACTTCCCACTGGTGCGTGGGGCCCATGCCCCAAGCCAGGACCCTGGTGACCAGCCACAGGCTAAACCACCCCCTGCCTTTCCATGGGACCTGGGTGCCCTGTGCAAACCACCCCCCACAACCTCCTGCAGGCCTTGGAGGAAGTGCAGGGGCAGACAGTGGGCAGCCGGGGGTACATGGGGCTAGACAGAGGCATGGTTGGGTGGAGGAGGGAGAAGAGAGCAGGTGGAGGAGCCTGTCCGGGGGTGCAGGTAGATCCCACGTACCCTGTGAGAAAGCCCAGTGCACTGCAGCAGGTGCAAGAAGCCCATCACTAGAGGGAGGGTGGCTGATGCCTGTGGATAGAGCAGGGTCCCCAACCACACCCCACTCCACCCCACGGGGGTATGGAGGGCTTAGCTGGGGGTGCCCATGAGCCCCCAGCCTGCTCCCAAGCTCCCTTGGCTACCCTGGCAGGCAGCACAGGGCCTGCATGGGGGTCTCTGCTCCCTCAACTGCTGGTGCCGACTTGCTGAGCTGCATATCGGAGACCCTCCAATGCTGTCCCTGGGGGCCCTGTGATCCTGAGCAGTGATGGGGGCAGCACTAATGGGCTTTTGCTCTCCCTCCCCCAGCTCATCCCCTACTGGGAGAAGACCTTTGGGATTGACCTGTCTCAGCCCCAGATCGGCGTGGTCAACGTCACCGATGTGAGTGCCCCAGCCACCGCCCCCGCCCCAGCTGTGTCCCTGTGTTGGCCTCCCTGGGGGTTCCTGCCACTCCTCTGCTGCCTGCTGGCAGGAGGTGTTGGGACAGCCCCTGGACACTGGGGGTGGGTACACGGCTGCCCTGGGCCCTGGCAGCAGACACGTTCTGTGCCCCGAAATAGCTCGCACCAGAGGGCAGCAGCTCCTCGCTTCAGGGGTAACTGTTCCAGCGCACCAGCTGCGCCCCAGCAGAAGCAGGGACCACATATATCTGCTCCATGCCACTCAGACCCTGACCTTTGACTCTGGATGGGTCACGTATCTGCTCCTGGCAACAGGTGTGGGGCTGCCCTGGGCTTTACACAAATGCTGGAGTGCAGACTGGGAATACGCGTCCGACACACTTTGGTGCCAGGCGTGATGCGCGGCCAGCCGGAGCGCCCTGTATCCAAACCGTCCTGCCACAGGCTCCCTGGCCTCTCCCAGCTGCCTCTGCCCCCTGCGCTGATCTCTGTGCCCCGGGCCTGGTGCTGGCTGCCCCCTCCCCATGGATTGGCAAGGCCCCTTCCCTGCTTGGACCCATCCCAGGGTCAGTGGCTCTGCAGGCCAGGCAGCTGATTCCCAGCCACACCCCACATGGGACCAGGGGAGCTCTGTCCCTGGGCTAGCGATGGGACTGGCTTGTTCCACAGCTAAGACCTGCCCTCATGACCTGGGAATAGCCATGCCAGATCCACCAGCCCCCTGTGCCCTCCCCACCTTACCCCTGTGCCCCTCCCCTCTCACAGGCTGACAGCATCTGGATGGAGATGGATGATGAGGAAGACCTGCCCTCGGTAGACGAGCTGGAGGACTGGATCGAGGATGTGCTGGAAGGCGAGATCAACACAGAGGACGATGATGACGACGACGATGATGACGATGACGACGACGACTAGATGTCGTCGCCTCCCTGTTGGGTCTCGCCCGGGGCCACACTCTGCCCGGGCCCACCCAGGGCACCCATGGGGTCTCGGGGGTGGGGTGACAGCAGTGTGTGGCCACGGCCACGTGGCCAGACTCTAGCCGTGGCACATTTTTGTATGGATCCTATTTAAGCCGTCGGCCCCCCGGGAACCACATGCCGCCCCTGACAGGTGCTGGCTTCTTTGGGGGGAGGAACCCCCCAACGCAGCCTGTGCCCCCATCCCCTCCCCCTTCCCAAGGCACTCACAAGGCACGAAACAGGGCTTAGCTGAGCTTTATCTTGGCCTTGCTGCCCTGACACCCCTCCTCGAACAGCCGGGGGGAGTCAGGCCACGGCACAGCCCTGACCCCACCAACCCTCAAGCTAGAAGGAAATCCCCATCCTCTCTCAGCTCTATAGGGCTCATGACACTTGAGTGAGTGGCTCCTGTTGCTACCAGCTGAGGCAACAGTGTCCCATGCACTCAGAGCCAGCTCATGCCAACATGGGACAGAGGCCAGCCCTGAGCCCCACTTCGTGCCCTGCTGGCAGCGTGTGACCCTGTCTTCGGGCTCCCCCTGTGACGGGAGCCCTGCAGCCTGCGGGAAGCAGAGAGGGGCCCTGCTGCGGGCAGACCCCAGCTAGAGCCTGCCCCCTTTCCCCCCCACCCTGCCCCGGGGAGCAACCAATGTGCAATTTGTATATTTATAACCAACTTTGTACAGAGCAACATTGCAACCAGCAAGGCAATAAAACCTGGCAGTACGGCGCCCGGCTGGTGAGAGCTGTGTTGGGCCAGACCCATGGGAGGGGAACATGGGGTGGGTTTCTGTGTCTCATTGGAGCTCCTGTGGACTCCAATGGGACCGGGTTTTGGGGCCCTGGGACTCTTCCCTTCTCCTTGGTCCTGGTTTGCGGCTGAACCGAATGGACTGTGCTTGTTGGGCTTTGTTTTTGGGGGTTCACACCATCTCAGTGCTTCCTGCTACAGGGCGTCCCCAGCCCCATCCTTGGACCTGCTCATGGAGGAGCTGTGAAGACAAGGCCTGCTGGGATATCTGCTGCATTTGGGGGCTAGCACACAGACTGCTATGGGGAGGTGGTGGGGCAGAGGAGCTGCAGCCCACAGTGCCAAGGGTGGGGGAGCAGGGGCAGTTCTCTGCATGCATGGAGGGGCAGTTCCAGCCTTGGCTGCCACCCGGGGGGCAGCTGCAGAGACCCTGGGGCATGTGCTGTAGCTGGGAGGATGTTGGGGGAATCACGATGGACCCTCTGCACTGGGACACCGAAGCCTGGCGGGGTCCCAGCCTGCAGGGCCCTTTCCCTGGGCTGCAGGATGGCAGGTCCCTGGGGGGTGCTGCAGGCTCTGTGCAGGGCACTGCTCACCCTAGTGCCCCATGACAGGGCACTTGATTGCACAGGGCAGACATGGGAGGGCCAGGGGTAGGGGAGCCCAGCTCCCGCAGCGTAGCAGTAGGGGCTGGCCGGGGGCCATGAAGCGGGTGCCATGGTGCTGGACCCGCTACTCCTGGATGCCCCCTGATTTCATGGGGATGGAGGCATAAGCCTGGTGCCCTGGCCTTGCCCAATCCTGGGTAATTTTTTTCCACTACAGTAAAATCCCCCAGAGGTTTCAACTGGAAATGAGATTCTTTTTTCACTTCCTGCCCAAGAGAAACAGAAAGAGACCTCAGTGCCCCGATCACCCACCAGTGTAAGGGGGAGTTAGCAGGCCAGCCTGCTCCCTCCTTCCCCTGGACAGAGCATCTGGGAGCCCCCCAGTAGCCCCACCCCACTGCCACCACGGGGGGTGGGGAGGCTGGGGCCGTGTATCGCAAGCGGTTGGAGCTGCCAGCCCCGAGCAAGGAAATGGTGGCGGCCATCCAAACAGCTGCGGCTCTAGGTTCACATCGGCCAGCTGCAGCCGCACGCATGGGAATGGATCTGGCCTCCCTGGGGCAGAGGCCGGCAGGCCTGGGCGCTCCCCTCCCTCCACGTGAGGCCCAGCACCCTGCCCAACGTGGGCCTGGCTGCCAGGCTGAGGGCGCCTGCCAGCACCAGATCTCTGGCCCCGGGGAAGTGAAAGCCCCGTCCTCGGCCTGCTTCCTCCTTTCAGTCTCGTTTTTGCGTGGCACAAAGGGCGAGGGAGCTGTGGGGGGCGGGACTGTGGCAGCAGTGGGGGGCTCAGGGGCAAGGCCGCTGGGTCCATGCCCCCGTCTTCAAGGCTGCTTATGCACCGCAGCTGCCAGCCTCTCTGGAGCTGACTCTGCAATACTGGGTGGCGGGCACGTGCCAGCCTGCAAACCACGCAGTCCTGCCACCCATTGCTGCAGGGGAGTGAGGACAAGGCGGGGGGCTGCACTAGTGCAGCAGTGAAGCTGAAGGGAACAGCGTGGCTTGGAGCAGCCCCTCTGGGACCTGGGCTGTCGTGGGGGCCCCTGCTGCATGTGCCCTGCGGGGCAGGTGGCTCTGGCCTGCCCAGCGCGGGGGGCTGGTGTGACCAAGTCAGACACCTTGGCCTGGTTTGGTTTGGAGGAAAAGAGCTGAGGTGAAGGAGTAGCGGCCGAGCCTGACCCCATGGAGCTGGGCCCTGCCCCTCTTGCCTGGAGCCCTTGGGCACGGGCTGGCTGTTCAGGCCCCGCCTGGCAGGGATGGAGATGCCAGGGGCAGGGGCAGCTCCCCACCTCCATCCAGCCAGGAAACACATGTGCACATGCACCCCCCCCATATACATTCCCATGCATACACGCACAAATGCCCATGCACACACATGTACACATGCATACATGTATGCACACCCCAATGGCCACACACGCACATGCACGCCCACACCCACACGTATATGTACATACATGCAGGCACAAATGCACACACATGCACACCCACACGCACATACTTGCGTACACACACATGCCCACGCATATATGTATATACACGCAGGCACAAATGCACCCCCACATACTTGCACACACACGCACATGCCCACATATATGTACATACATACATGCAGGCACACATGCACACACGTGCACGCCCACACTTGCACAGACACGCGCATACTACGTACAATCACGTAGGCACAAATGCACACACACACGCAGGCCCACACGCACATACTTGCACATGCACACATTCATGGATGTTCATGCATGCACGCGCCCACGAATGTCCACACACGCTCGCACACTGATGCATGTGTCCGCACAATCACACACACGCATGTGCCCAGACACACACGCAGGCACGCACACCGACACGCGCACACACGGGCGGCCCCGCGCGGCCGGAGCACAAAGGCGCCCGGTGACGTCACCGCCCCGCCCGCCCCGCGCAGGAGGAGCC